ATCTATCTATCTATCTATCTATCTATCTATCTAACTATGAAACAGTCATATTCAGATAAAGAATAACCAGAAGTTTGGGTGCATTAGAGAGGTTTAAAGGCTTCCAATTGTTCCATGACCTCACTTTCGCAGCTGAGATCCTGTCCTCCATGTAAAGCATCCTTGATCTAAGAGGTCTAAGATCCCCCATCCTCTCTGCCTTTCCAGTGCTGCTCCACTGAGGACCCACATCATCTCTCCCATTCTTTGCTTTTTCCTGTCTTTTAAAGGCTTTATTTCTGTGGAAGTCTCACCATCCTCACAAGTTATTAATGATGCTTTGTTTATTCTGGGTATTAAATTCCTTCTAAGTGTGTTTATACTATGTTTTACAAGGTAGGTTAAAACTCTTTCATCTGGTAGTGCAACCATGTAGGCATCAGTCAGCTCCTAATTTATATTTGCTGCAGCAACCAGTCTGGCTGACAAGTACCCTAGCCATGCACATGTGGCTGCACAGGGCTACTCTTTTTCTTAAAATTTTGAATAGTATGTTTTATTTAACCCCATATATCTAAAGATGATTATTAACATGCAATCAATATAAAATACGATTAATGAAATATTTTATATTCTCTTTGGTACTAAATCTTTGAAGCCTGGTAGTTTTTTCACACCTACAGCACATCTCAGTTTGAATTAGCCGCATGTCAAGGGTGCTGTAGACACATCTGACTTAGATGAGACAGGTCGAGGGCCTTTAATCACTTGCCCTGAGAGTGTTATTTTTAACTGAAATATAGTTGATTTACAATGTTGTGTTACTTTCTCATGTACAGTGTAGGGATTCAGTTATAGATACATACATAGTCTTTTTCATAATAGGTTAGGGAATGTAGTTCCCTGTGCTGTACAATAAGGATCTTGTCATTTATCTATTTTATATATAGTAGTTTGTATCTGCTAATCTCAAACTCCTCATTTATCCTTCCTCCTTTCCTCTTAGGTAATGATAAGTTTGTTTTCTGTAATCTGTGAGTCTTTTTGTTTTGTAAATGAGTTCATTTATATCTTTTTTTTAGATTAAGTACAAGGCTTTTCTTGATGACTGCGTGTTCAGTTGCAGGTGCTGAAGACTGCTTGAATGGGTCAGTGGGATGGCTGCAGGTGTGCTTGTGAAGGGCGGGAGGCGGGGAGGTGGTTTGTTCTAGGACCATCTTCCCAACCCGTCCCCATCCAAGACTAGTCCTATTCTGATGACATAAGGATGTGTTTACAATTTTCAGCTGGAATGACTTGAGCCCTTATGACTTCAGTAATTTTGCGCCATGTGTCTCTTTAAGCAACTTAATTCCATTTCCGTGCTTAACCTGAGGTACCCACTTACTGACAATTTACTGATTCACCATGTGTGCTATCTCCCCTAATTTACCACCTTCTGGATTTTCTTTATTAGACTGGTGTATATACGTGTTTTAAACCTTGCAACCTGCCTCATACTATTTAAAAATCAAGCTTGTTGTTCAGGAAGCATAAACTCAAGTGAGTTCCCCGCAACCAACACTGAGCAGGAAAGGCGGTAGCTGGGAATGAGCAAACTGTCCACGACAGGAAAACACAGGCCCTCTTCCTTTTATTTAGACTTAACCCTTTCGCCCCCGGGGCGCTCTGAACCAGGTGAGAAGTCTAAGAGGGGCGCGCGCAGACGCGATCAGCCGTGCGTGCCGACCGCCGTGCGGAGAAGGCGCCGCGCCCGGAACATCCTTTCTCGGGGCGCGCGCGCCTCCCCGCCGGGTTCCCGGGGCTGCGCATCCGCGCAGGTGCCACCGGGGCGCCCCGCCGCTCGCGCAA